GTCTGCTTCTTCAAATGGCTGTCCCTCAAAGGCAACTTCAGCTACTGGGACCCTACATTCACAGCACACAAGATCTCTGTGAATCCTCTCCGGTCACAACCCAAAATGACAGGATAAGCTAAGCTCAATGCCAGGCCTAACAACATGACCTGCATTTCACCATTCATCATCATGGTGACTCCAGCCTTGGGGGTAGGGCTTCACATCCCTATCACAATGAGTAAAGTGTGAGTAATATGTCAGTACATTAGCACTGCGGGACATAAATATACATACTGACAAGTAAAAAAAAAGAGTAGTCCTGTAGCATCTTAGGGTACGTCTAGACTACAGGGTTTTGTCGATGGAAGTTTTGTCGACAGATACTGTCGACAAAACTTCTGTCGACATAGAGCGTCTAGACACATTCAGTTCTGTCGACAAAGCAAGCTGCTTTGTCGACAAAACCCTGTAGTCTAGACGCAACCCTACAGGCAATAATACCTTCTGTCGACAGAACTCTGTCGACAGAAGGTGTTATGCCTCGTAAAATGAGGTTTACCAGCGTCGACAAAACTGCTGAGTTCTGTCGACGTTATGTCGACAGAATTCAGCGGTAGTGTAGACACAGGTATAGTTTTGTCGACAAAAGTCCACTTTTGTCGACAAAACTCAGTAGTCTAGACACACCCTTAGAGTGCATCTACACAGCACCCTAAACTTGAAATAAGATACGCAATTTGTGCTACACAAATTGCATATCCTATTTTCAAATGGAATTGAAATAACTTATTTTGAAATTTGGTGTACCTATACAGTGCCAAATTTCAAAATAACGCACTATTTCGAGACATCCCTTAGCCCTTGTGGAATGAGGGTTACAGGGATGCCGAAATAGCACACCTGTTATTTTGAAAAATATTTTGAAATAACGGGCAGCTTGTTAAGACACAGGGTAGCTATTTCGGGATACCTCCAGTATCCCAAATAGCTGCACAGTATAGACATACCTTTAGAGATTAACATAGTATATATATAAGCGGCGAGGAGTCCTGTGGCACCTTATAAACTAACTGAAGTGTTGGAGCATAAGCTTTCATGGGCAAAGACCCACTTCGTCAGGTGCTTGTAGTGGAAATTTCCAGAGAGGAGAAGGAATTCACACCTCCAGATCAGCCACTAGAAGTGGGCCTCATCCTCCCTGATTGGATCCACCTCGTCATCTCCAGACTGATTCTGGCCTGCATATTTATACCTGCCTCTGGAAATTTCCACTACAAGCATCTGACGAAGTGGGTCTTTGCCCATGAAAGCTTATGCTCCAACACTTCAGTTAGTCTATAAGGTGCCACAGGACTCCTCGCCGCTTTTGCAGATTCAGACTAACACGGCTACCCCTCTGATAGTATATATATAGTATCATGAGATATTGTGGCCAAAACCCACTCTGAGGAAGTGGGTTTAAGTTACAGACTAACATGGCTATCCCTCTGAGACCATACTGACAAGTAATCAGTTATAGAACCATTTGTGGTTCAACTCTACTTGTGGATATTCACAGTTTGTCATCAAAAATTAGACCAATCTATATGTTTGAGAGGTTGGCAATAGCTGCTGTGCCAAACCATTGTTCTTCCAATATATTGCTGTAATCTAGGTAATGAATAGAGCCAGATACTCAGGTTGACCACATCAGACCTCAAATATATACAAAGTGGGGAAAGATCTGACTTAAAAGTATGGGGCTGTAACCAAAGAGGTACTGTCTTGAGCCACACAATGGAGTTGTGCTGGTCCAGATGTTCTGGCCGCACATATTCATTCTCTCCTTTAGACACACTTTCCTGTGGTTTCCATATTGAAAAACAACACTTATATGTCCTCTCTTCATGGAGAGACAAACTTCCACTATCTCCTCCCACTTCTGCTCTTGCTCCCTCTATAGAGACTGACTAAATACAATCTTTATTTCCTTCTATTACAAGATTATCCTTTCCTCTCCCATCATAAAGCTCAGCCTCATTTTTAAGTAAACTAATGTAAATATAAAATAAATAGTTTGTGATGTGAATAATATTATTTTCATTCTATGCAACATTTCTAACCTTCAAAGTATGAAAACTGTACTTGCATTTAAATTTATTTTATAGACAGACTACTTCTGAGATAGGGAAAAGTCCCTAGTCTGTCAAGATACATATATAGCTTTGCTGTAAGCACAACCACACATATGGAAAGGCATCTTGGACAGCTCAGCAAATACAGACTCATGAAACTCAGAAGGAAAGCTGTGATAAAAATCCTATTTCCTATATTCTATGAAGACAGGGACTGAAAAAATATGTTACATGGACAATATTTTTGTTTTCCTTCTGTAACCTTTCTGCCGGACAGGCCTGGCAGTAACCAAGGCTGGGTTCAATGTCTTGGGGCCCATCTCACACAGAATCGGCTCGAGTCCCCACCCAGTAATCTTGGAAATTCACACACCCCTGGGTGCCTCTGAGAGGCAATGCTTCCCCACTCACAAGCACTGAGTCTGAGTGCAGGAAAGAAACATTTAATGAAACAGAGAGAGAAGTCATACGGCATTAACTTGAGGGAAACACCACAAACAGAGTTCATAACCCAAACATGAGCTAAGCCCTCCCCCCAGCCAAGAATCACCTGAAGTCCAAAGAGTCCGACACCCCAAAAGTCTCTGTGCCTGGTCCGTGCCACCCAAAGTCCCAAAGTTCACCCGCAGGGTTTCACCTCCCAACTTGGATAGAAATGGGGGTGGTGGGATAGATTTGGGGCACCTTCCGACATTCTGCCATGCTCCGCCAGCTGTCTCGTCCCACGCCACTGGACACTCCGCTGGCCGCCTGCCCCACCTTATGACACTCCGCCCCACTCCCCCAGCTGTCTCGTCCCACGCCACCGGACACTCCTCTGGTCACCTGCCGCCGCTGGTCACCGCTCCTTGTCTGCTGCCGCTCCGCACCACGCCACTGGTCACCGCTCCTCGCCTGCTTCCGCTCCATGCCACGCCACTGGTCGCCATGCCACGCCACTGGTCGCCGCTCCACGCCTGCCGCTGCTCCACACCACACCGCTGGTCACCGCTCCTCACCTGCCACTGCTCCACGCCACGTCGCTGGTTGCCGCTCCTCGCCACGTCACTGGTCGCCACTCCTCACCTGCCGCTGCTCCTACTGGCCACATTACGCCACCAGCCAGTGATTTCCACCAGCCACTCTGCTGGTCACCACCACTCCACTGGCTGCAATGGGTCTGCTTTCAGCCAAACCAGTGATTTCAGCTCTCAGTGATTTCAACTCTTTAGCCACCAGCTGGACTGGCAAAGGAATCCAGCTTCCACTGGACTAGCAAAAGAAAAGTTTCCTCAGGGAGTCTGCTTTAGGTCTGCCCTTCAAACAAAGGGGAAAAGGGGCAGGTTGGGCTAGTCTTATAGCTCACACCTGGCAGGTGTGAAGCAGGCTGACTCAAGCCTTCCCCCCAACTCAGTTCTCTCAACTCTGGAAGGGGGGAGGCTTGTCCCTCCGAGACCTCTTACCATGATGGTGGTGTCTCTCCTGCAAGCACTGGTGGCATGTTTTACAGTTCCCATATTTAGAGATAGCATGATTAGTGACCCCCCACAACAGTCCCAAATTATTTACAATTCTCCACATTCCATTCCAACACTGACCCTCTATCAGCCCTGGCTGAATGGGATTTACATAGCCACACCTCAGATTCTCTCCTGAGCAGTATTTACATGTCAACAGTTAACAGTTATTTACCTTGCAGAGCTAAACAATTGTAGTGGGCACACCCACCCCTCCTTTTAGCTGGCTGATAGCAAGCAGTAGTTCAGCCCCTGCTTACACTTCAGAAAGAATTATTGTAGATATCGGTGCAATTTGTTTAGATAAATGATTTTAAGGATTAATAGATGGTTCCAGTAACTAATACTGAGATGCAGGATTCTTGTTCCCACTGCCAAATGCCAAAACTAGTTTACTTCAGTGATATAGGACTGGGCCAAAAGCCCAGGGAAGGGAAGGTTACTCACCAGGTGCAGTAACTGTAGTTCTTTGAGGTGGTTATCCCTGTGGGTGCTTCACTTTAGGTGCACCAGCACTGCTGCACCCACGGTTGGCAGACTTCTAGTAGCAGTGCCCTGTAGTTTGCTGTGTGTACAGAGCGCTGGCACACGACAGTTAGAATATTCATCTCATGCACACAGCCAACAGCCTCCTCAGTTCTTCTCTGACCCGGAAGTATACAGATCCAAAGTTGAGGGGAGGAGGGTGGGTGGTGGAACACCCACGGGGACAACCATCTTGAAGAACTACAGTTACTGCACCTGATGAGTAATCTTTCCTTCTTCTTGGAGGAGTGTCCCTATGAGTGCTCCACCTTAGGTGACTAGTAAGCAGTGTTCGTGTTCGGTGGAGGGTGCTTCGGCATTGTTGACTCAATAACTGTGAGTACAGTTCTGCCAAAGCATGTGTCTGTGTCCGCAAATGATTGTATTGTGTAATGTTGTATGAATGTGTGAACACCACAAGGACACTATTCGACGTTCTGGGCCTACAGATCAACCTGGAGAAGTGTATCCTTACACCAACCCAGACTATAGATTTATAGGAGCACACTTGGACTGTACCAAAGTGATAGCGTTGCTACCACAGCACAGATTCAAAGCTATCAAGGACTTAATATCATTCACGCAGGCCAGCCCATACATAAGGGCAAAACAGTGTCTACAACTACTAGGACACATGGCAGCTGCCACGTTCGTGGTACCGTATGCATGGCTGCGCATGAGACTGATGCAGGCCTGGCTGAGAACGGTGTATAGACCACACGTACACCACATAAACAAGCGCTTAGCGATGCCAAAAAGCATAAAATCCATACTAACATGGTGGAAGACTCACCACAATGTCTGCAAGGGGGAACCATTTCAACGCCCATCTGCAACGATTACAATTACACCAGACACACTGCTAGTAGGATTTGGAGCTCACCTGGATGAAAAGATAGTGCCGGGTCAATGGCGCAGAGACGAATCCGAAAACCAAATAAATGTTCTGGCATTCAGGGCAGTCCGCAATGCCTGCGCCCACTTCCAGGCTATAATATAGAACAAAATGGTACAAGTGTTAACAGACAACACCACGATGTTATACTACATCAATCGGCAAGGGGGAGTGCAATCAAACAAACTGTGTCAAGAAGCGGTGAAGCTATGGGAATGGTGTATCCCCAGTAACATAGCACTCATAGCCACCTATCTCCCGGGCCAGGAGAACATCATAGCAGACAGTCTCAGCAGGGATTTCTCCCACAATCACAAATGGGAAATCAACCCCAAAATGATAAAACACTTGGTCAAGAAATGGGGGTTTCCCTCGATAGAGCTATTTGCCACCAGCAAAAACAAGAAGGGTATGTCTAGACTACATGGCTCCGTTGACAGAGCCATGTAGATGAGTTTACTAGACATAGGAAAATGAAGCGGCGATTTAAATAATCGCTGCTTCATTTACATCAAAATGGCCGCCGCACTGTGCCGACGATCAGCTGATTGGCACAGCGGGACAGTCTAGATGCGCTGCGGTCGACAAGGGCAGCCTTTGTTGACTGCTCCGGTATGCCTCGTGAAACGTCGACAGAGCCATGTAGTCTAGACATACCCGAAGTGTCCATGCTACTGCTCAAGAGCGCGCAAAGGACACCAATTCATGGGAGATGCATTCAGTATAAAGTGGGAAGCACCTCTAATGTATGCATTCCCACTGTTTCCAATGATTCAGCTCGCTATCCTGAAAATCAGGACAGGGCAAGGTTAATACTGATAGCACCCAAGTGGCCCAGACAGACCTGATACTCTTACCTGCTGCGGATACATGCCTGTCCACCAGACCCCTTTCCACCAGTCCAGTCTCTGTTGACACAGAAGGATGGCGGGAGCCACCGTCCCAATGTACAATCTTTTCATCTTCATGTATGGATGGTGATTGGCTGATGCCTTTAGAGGCCAACTAACCCAAAGAGGTACAGCAAATCCTAGTGAACAGCCATAGACCTACAACAAGGAGAACATACAATCAGAAATGGCACAGATTGAACATATGGTGCCTCAAACACAACTGCACTCTAACAAGATCAGGAGTGGCAGAAATACTCACTTACCTGTTAGAACTACACAAAACGGGGCTTTGAATAAGCTCAGTTACAGTACACCTCACTGCAATAATGGTACTGCATCACCCAATAGATGGCTACTCAACATTTACTCACCCATCCACCAAGAGGTTCCTACAAGACCCATTTCGAGCATGGGATCTCAACCTTGTCTTAAGGGCTCTTAGGGCAAACCATTTGAGCCACTAGCTACATGATCATTACTACAACTATCAATGAAGGTAGCCTTCCTAGTGGCAATTACATCAGCTAGCAGAGTGGGGGAGACAGGAGCACTTATGACACAACCACCTTACACAGTCTTCCATAAAGAAAAGGTGATACTTCAAACTCACCCTAAATTCCTTCAGGAAGTAATTAGCTCATTCCACTCTAAAGAGCCAATATACCTACCTGTCTTCTTTCCTAAGCTCCATAAAGATGACAGAGAAAGAACATTACATACCTTAGATAGAGGGCTGGCCCAAGCCATTTTGGCACCCCGGACCCCAGGTGCGCGGCGCCACACCCGGGGCACACGGCCCCACCTCTGGGCACACGGCACATGCGCTACTCAGTCTGCCTGGCCACCGCCGATGCCGCGCAGCCCGGGGCGGGCTGCTCCTGGCCGTGCAGGGCTCTGCGGCCACGGGGGGAGGGGTGCAGCTGGCCGGTGCTGTGAGGGTTGACACGACCCCCGCCCTGGGCAGCCGCTGCAGCCCACCAGGAGCCAGGCACCCCCCGTAGGTTGGCTCCCTGGGCAGCTGCCCGGCTAGCCCACCTCTTAGTCCAGCCCTCCTTAGATGTAGAGCAATCACCTTCTGTCTTAAGCGAACAGAACCCTTTCAGAAATCCCCAAGAGTATTCATCTCATCCACTGAAAGGTCAAAAGGGTTACCCATATCCAAACAAAGGCTTTCTAAGTTGATATCGGACTGCATATGCCTGGCCTACAACATATCAACAGAGAATCCCCCCTCCTTCCCACCACCATAAGGGCTCATTCCATGAGAGCTATGGCAATGACAACAGCCTTCCTCAGTGGAATCCCAACCTCTTTCTGGGAGTCTGAGCCCTGTCCTGGTCCCTGGGGCTTGAAAGTTGGTCTAGCCCATTATCCTGGGCATCCCCAGGAGGTTTATTTGTGGGTGATGCCCTGTCACTTATGGTTCTGGAGTCTGACTCCATTTGCATCATTCTTATCTGTAGTTGTCTTGCTCTTCAGTCCTATTTCTCAATTTCAGGCAGTGCTTACACTGCTGCATGTTACGAGTCTGTCCCAGGCAACGGACACAGTGAGGCTATGTCTACACTACGGCTTTTGTTGTTTTTTTTTTGCGGAAGGGCAATGCAAATGTAGCGCTGATTAGCATTTTCGTGCACTTCATTTGCATAGTCCATGTGGGGCCATTGCATGCCCAGGGACAGCTCTGGCTCCATGACACAAAGAAAAAAGCTGTAGCATCCAAAGAAGCTGGGCAACCACAGCACACACTATAAATCTTAGATGTCCCTCAAGGATGCTACAGCTTTTTTCTGTGTGTCATGGACAAAAAATGAGGAATATCGTTAGTTCGAACCAAGGGGTTTGGTTCGAACTAACGTGTCCCAGCGCGCACTTTCACTTTTGAAACAGCTGTTGAGCGGAGTAAAGTGCCGGCGAGATCATGCTAATGAAGCATGAGATATTTAAATATATTAGAGGGATAAATTCCAGAGAGGGAGAGGAATTATTTAAGCTCAATAGCAATGTGGACACAAGAACAAATGGATATAAGTTGGCTATTAGGAAGTTTAGACTTGAAATTAGGCGAAGGTTTCTAACCATCAGAGGAGTGAAGTTCTGGAACAGCCTTCCAAGGGAAGTAGTGGGGGCAAAAGACCTATCTGGCTTCAAGATAAAGCTAGATGGGTTTATGAAGGGGATGGTTTGATGAGGTAACATGATCTTGGCAATTAATTGACCTTTCACTATCAGTGGTAAATAGGCCAATGGTGGGAAGATAGGAGTTGCTATAGAGAACTTTTTTCTGGGTGTCTGGCTTGTGAGTTTTGCCCACATGCTCAGGGTTCAGCTGATCACCATATTTGGGATCAGGAAGGAATTTTCCTCCAGGGTAGATTGGCAGAGGCTCTGGAGGTTTTTCGCCTTCCTCTGTAGCATGGGGCATGGGTCACTAGCGGAAGGATTCTCTGCATCTTGGGGTCTTTGAACCATCATTTCAAGGATTTCAATATCTGAGATATAGGTAAGAGGATTATTCTAGCAGTGGGTGGGGTCAGACTAGATGATCAAAATGGTCCCTTCTGACCGTAAAGTCTATGAGTCTATCTTCAGGAGAATGGTTTTGTGGTTCTCAATCCAACAGCTGCCCCTCTTTCAGTTCTGATTGATGTGTAATTGTCGGCTTGTTTCCCGTGGGGGTGGGTTGCCTCGCTATAGAGGGGGTGGAAGAATTGGTTTTATTGTGTGTGGTCTGAGTTTGCTGATAGGAGGGTGATCTCCTTAAGCTACACTCCAGAGAATATGAGTAACGGCTGCCATGATAACTGTGCCTATATCGACAGTCATAACATCTTGGGGAGTATCTGTGGTAGTGTCTGCTTCCGTATATGTCCTGGTGTCTGGAACCGGTGGAAAGTGTGGGAGTTCTGAGTGATCTGGATCTGCCCCTTGAGTGCACCAGAGAAAATGGTGAGTATCAATGCCGATGGCAATAGCGTGGAGAGAGGGAGGTGCGAGTCGGTGAGTAGTGACACAGTCTCGAAGATGGGTATGCTGATAAGTGCCCGGAATGAATTGATTGAGCCAGAGATGGTGAAGGTGGTTCTGGTGAAAAAGAAGTGTGCTCCAGGCTTGGCGCTGGCTGAAGTGTCAGTGCAGGCACGGCCAATGCCGTAAGAACTGGTGCAGCTATGGGCGATGCTGCCGGCACCGTCTGTGTCGTTGGTGCCGGGTCTGCGTTCAGTGCCGGTCTGGTTTCCATGACAGATACTGGTGCCGCCTGTGTTGTCGGTGCCAGACTAGGCACCGACATGCTTTGGACTTGTTTTTGTTTATCGGCCTGGCGAATAGGAGCCGCGCCTAAAGTACCCGGCTTGTCTCCTGTGCTAACCTGTGTTGAAGGTAGGGAGTGAGAAGGAGAAGGTCTTTTAGTATGAGTCGACTTTGGTGAAGAAGGTCGGCATCTGGCAACTGCCAGAGATTTGGAAGGGCAGGGCGAGTCAGAGCTTAGAGCAATGGGGACATTTCTGAGGGATATGTCCCTCGCCCAGGCACCTTATACAAGAGGAATGTCCATCTGAGGTGGGCATTAGCTCACAGCAAGTGCCGCACTTCTTGAAACCCGGTGAGCCTGACATGGTAGAAGTAGTATTGAAGGTGGTTTTTTTAAATGAAAGTACTCAACTCTAACTATGAACTACTAACTAACTAATAACTATTAACTATATACAATTTGTTCTATCTCAATTCCTAACAGGATTGAATGCGAGAGGGAGCTCACTCCACCTGTGCCCAAGGACGGTTAGGAGGAACTGCGGGAGCCGGACCGCGCGTGATCAGAAAACGGCGCAAATGGTGCGAGACAGACAACACACATGCGCAGTCCAGTGGACTATTGCTGAAAAGATCTCTGATCTGCAGCACCAGGACAAGCCTGACAACTACAGTGGAGCACCCCTGGGGACACTACTCGAAGAAGAACTATCAGTAGCTGTAAATGTCAGGTTCATTGCCTCTTCACAGATACGAACTCTTCATCTTCATTTACCCAACCTATATAGATTCCCTTAAAGTCCATACAAGTGTGGATGCTCTCTTGCGCAAAAGCGATGTGCTTTGAGGTGTGGACATGCTTTTGCACAAGAAGTTTTTACACAAGAACTCTTCCGCAAAAGACTTCTTGCACAAAAACCTTGCAGTGTAGACGTAGCCAGAGAAATACAGTGGACAATACTCACTGCTGAGCTGAATACCAGGGGATCCGACTGAGCCAAATCCATCCTTAGTAGAACTCTGCTGAACTCCATACAAGTTCATCATGGACGAATTTTGTCCATGGGATTGTATAGGGATGTACGTCATTGTTGAATTTGATCCATTTAATTCATATGGGAAGCTAAATTAAATGCAGTCTCTCTAAAAAAAAGTGCTAATGGAAAGAAACTAGTGATCATTTTATTTAAAGAGATGAATATTGACAGGCTTTATCACTCCAGTTATTATATTAAACACAATATTATAGGAAGAGATTGAACTGTGCTACTAACACCATTGTCACAAAATTGCACTCTAGTGGCCTAATTTTCACTGGTTCTGAGTAGAGATGAGCAATGTGCATTGTCTGCAGGAAGACGGAAACCACTCAGCTCACCAGACTGTGATCGAATCAAATCACCTTATAAATCTATAAAATTAAAAGGCACATACCATGCTAAATATTCAAAAAAAAGTGTAAGGTATCATTTGTTTTTCCTATGAATCTCTCATGTCTTTCAATTTCCAGATTATAGTGGCCCAGGTATCACCTACAACAAATGTAACTGGGCTGGCTGTGTCATGGCAAAAATAGACTAATGATATTTGTACAATAGGTCTTCACTGAACTGTAGAAGAAATTGTTCATGTAAGGTACTAATGAAAGGATTTCATGTGTTCTGATCAGGCTCAGCTCACAACCTGGTGAGATGCAGAGCCATAACTAAGAATTTTTGCATCTGGGGCAATATATTAATTATGTTCCCCCCTTCCTTAGGTTAACACACATCACGCTCTTTACTTTTGCAGCTTAATATTTTCACTTATTACACTCTTATTACATCTTTGCACCCCTGATTATGATACACTTGGCACTTGCACCATCCTTGTTATGGCCCTGGTGAGATGAGAGGTTTCAACTT